AGGTAAGACGAAGGCAACACAGGATCATGCTAGAGCCAGTAGGGGAGGACGATGTGGGAGACGGGGTGTGATGCAAGAAGGGGAGAAAAGGAGGAGGAGGAGGGGGGTGGAGGGACCACAGTGATGGTGGAGAGCGGAGGAATGAGCTGGAGCTCAATGTTGCAGAATGGCCTGCAGCTCCGTTTGAGGCTGTGTGTGTATACCAGTGAGAAGGGTTTAAATTCATTATGAGCTGCTGTGTGCAGCCAGCGGAGGAGGCGCAGATGGAGGGTGGGGGTTGAGGTTGAGCGTGGAAAGATGCAAAAGACCCGCCAAGTGGTACAACTCTCAGATTTCTAGTGAAACCTTTCATTTATCATAATTGGGCCAGGGGTCATTTAGGACAGTTCAAAAACAGTTTTTAATTTATCCGCTTTGAAATATTTTTCCAGCCAAGTGCCCCTGACATTTTTGGTAGAAAAAACTGCCTATATATAATATAATTATATATTTACTAACTGTAAAAGCACAATGTCTTGGGAGGGTTGCAGCTCGTTGAGTTAAATCCAATTGAAACATCTTCTCTCTGATGCTGACGGTATTCTTTTGGCTCCGTTCTCACTTTCTTTTTCTCTTCTTGCTCTGTGTTTTCAGCTGTATTGTTGCTAAGTTTCAACCACAAATCCATTTTCTTGATTTTTTGTCCGCCATTCGATATTGAACCTTCTTCTTACTGCAGTTGACACACTGAAAACAAGAATATTGATTATAAGATGTGGTTTATCGAGCCTACATTTACATTGTTTATTAACCTTATTATAGCAGTCATTATTTAAGGAATTTAGAAAAGAAATTGATTGAAGAATACATGAACAAAACCCCATGCAGTACTCCAAGGTAGGCCAGCACCCATTTGAGAAATACAGGTTTAGAGGACACCTGCTCAGGCAATTTCCTGACAGTCGACCTGTTAGATTTTGGGTGCAAGGTGGTGTTTTGAGCTGAGGAGGCACATACAGGCAATATGGCAATATGCAGCCAATGGTTCATCCACTGGGATACACAAATGTGCAGAGGGCTTTTATGAACTACATCTTCTTATTCTTTCCCTCCTAACCTCACAAGATGGATTAAAGGTGCATTTTAGGAAATTTGAGAAAATCAGATCCTTGAAAACTTGTTTGGGATGGGTTGGGTCCCTTTCACAACTGTAATCATTTGAATAACACAGCTGTTCTATGCTTTTCGTTTTCAATATATGCTACAATAATATATGGTGGGTGTAAAAGGAAAATCTATAAAGAGTGCTAAACAAAAAAACAAACAAATCAGCCCAGTAGATTTGAAAATGTAACCCTTATGGCGGTGCAAGGGGAAACATCAGGGGGTCAAGGTTTTCCCTCCATGACTATATCTGAAATAACCCAGTAAGACTTTGCCACGGACCCATGTGTTGCTCAAGGGGAAATGTGTGGTGTGAGATTTGAGTTCAGTGTCACCGGTGTTATTATAATGACGCTTTACTCTCTGTAAAACATGAATATTTATTCTAAAAAGCACCACCGCCTGGAGAGTTAATGCCCTACTCAGGTGCAGTCACCCTCAGCAAGAGCTCATATATGTTCTGGTTTTCTTACAGCGGAAGTTTTCAACACATCAAGGTCTTTTTCAAGAAACACATTTCCAACGCAGCTATGACATTTAGACCAGACACTGATATTAATTCAATAAACACAATATACACAGATTTGTTTTGCGTGAGATTAGTTTCTTTATACAAGAGGTGCCTTGAAGTAATGTACTTGTATGTACCAATCAGAGCCAGAAGAGCTAGTTGATTGTTGAGTCTCATTCCCAGGACATCAAATACAGACAATCTGATTGGTTGTTTTCATCCAGGCACGCTGGGTTCTTGCAAATGTCATTAGCAGCACTAGGAGGAGCCAGAGGAACCAGATTTTTTTCACAGATTATCTGTCTCATGTACTACTGCCAGGATATAGTGAAAGTTTCAGCAAATATGACAAAAGAATAAAGTTACCTGCTGCAGCTTTAATGCCTGCCACCAGGTCAGATTCAGATTCAGAATCAGAATCAGAAACACTTTAATAATCCCAGGGGGAAATTATTTTCGTTACAACACTCCAGATATACAAACAACATATATATATATACAACATTCAGCACAAAAAATATAAATATATATATATATATACAGTATATATATATATATATATATATATATATATATATATATATACACACACACAAGATCAAATGTACAGTATTCCCCTTGAAATGAATGAAACAAGGCTGTAAAAACACTTTTTGTCCACAGGGGCCACCAGAATCAACACAAAATGCTAATATTTGTCGATCAATTCAACTTTTTATGATTTTATTCTTATTTTCCATTTAATGTTATATAAAACATAAAATGAGTCCTCTCATAACAAACTGGTATGACATTCTTCCTGCCCCACCTTCTATTCTTGAACATGCAGACAAGCATGCATGAACATAACTCATCCCAGCTCCTTCTGCTTGATTTAATTGCGTAACTCAGGTCTGATTAATGGGCAGTTCAGTTCCTTATCTTTGTTTCTTATCCCAAACCTCAACCACAACTTCTTGCCTCCGTGCTTCTTCTGTCCTTTTTTCAGTCCGTCATGGGTTTATTGTGGTTAATGGAAGACCTGTGACGTGTAAGGTTATTTCTGTGTAAATAGGTGAGTAAGGCTGATGTCACTCAACATTTGGTAAATTATTTTCTTAAGTAATATTACATTATATGTTAAGAATGCAAGTTTCAAAGCACCGTTTCCCTGGTAGATGATGTTTCACAGCAAACACCGGCAAGTAACAAACTGCTTGTAACTGCTGAGACTACTCATCTGGCCCAGCATGCCCCAACACATCTGGGCGATACTTGTGAGACACATGAAAGAGCCTGACAGCTCGAGGAACGGGCTCACTGCTTTAAGCTCTGCTGTTTAGCCCGAAGAGCTTGACATTTACAGTTAATAATAATGTTCACAGAGTTGTAAGACTTTGAAATGCATAAATATCAACCAGAGTGGTCCATCTCTGATTATAATTATATATTTATTGCACAATTGATTCATCTAGAATTGGATTCTCGCCCTGAATTAATTTATACCGTAACATTTCTATAGCATTTACCACTATAGTACGGTAAATGTGGGGATTTGGCAGTGCTTGCTGCTGTTTGAACGGTTTTGTCCTGCCAGGTCACAGTGGAAAAATACTGCAGCATGTTTGAATTCTTTGGTAAACAGCATGCTCCAGTTAACAGACGGCAAGAAAGGCAAAGGCAGGGCATGAGTCAGGTAAAGGATGGATGTGTCAGCTAGGGCAACCCCAACCCCCCAAACTCATACTTCACTGGAAGGTTCTAGTCATCTCCTTCAGGTTTGAAAAGTGCCTGTAAAAGGTTGAAAAGTCAAAACATCTACAGAAACATCACAAAGCACTCCTGCAGCATCATTTTACCTGTCTGAGGAAGAAAAATACAACATCACAGTACATTGCAAGTTCTGCATTCCAGTTGGGAAAATGCTCTACTGCCTGAATTAAGGAATTTATATTCACAATTAAAAAAATTTTAATTCCATTTTCTTTTCTACGGTTACATTGCTCTGTTGTCTTATACAGCACATATTATATTCATTTTCTCTTGTTTTTATTTACATATTTGGTGTTGGGGTAATCCAAAAGTAATGGAAAGTAATCAAGTTACACAGGCTTGGGGAGTAACGGATTACATGTAACTGAATTATGTAATCAGGATCCAAAACAAAGGCAGCTGTAATCCATTACAGTTGAGCAGAGGACACATTTTTATGCCAGAAATCTTTCCATTGTCTTTTCTTTCTTGTCTCCATTTTCTTTTCTCTTATTTGGTGTTAGTAGTTAGTAATCCAAAAGTGATAAAGTTACGTTACTTTAATATTGTGACAATCAGATTAGTTTACTGACAACGTTTCTTAACCGGTAATTAAATACTGAATAAGATTACAATTTTAAAGTAACCCTCCTAACCCTGATCATACCGTATAAGTAGATATGATACAGTCTGTTAGATATGTTATAGCCCAAAATGACACATTTCATGAGAATAAATACACGGGTACATTTTTCTAGGCTAATGTCATTCTTATTGTATTATGTGTATATATATATATATTATATATATATATATATATAAGTTTATTCTTTGTCCGTTCTACAGGACATAATATAAATATGTATCAGTACCATTATTAGTCATTACCCCATAAAACATCAACTGAAGCAAACCTGAAGTTGGCTGGGCACTAGACAGCGTATCTTGTATTATCTAAGATGCGTATGTGCATTCATCCACGTGTTCATGCCTTCACACACACGCTTGACATCCATGCCACATTTCAGCCTATAGACAGAACGTTGCAGTTGCTATAGGGCCTGCAGAGTGTACGACAAACGGTTCATGAGTTATGAAAGGGTCGTGGTTAAATGGTCCGTATGTGTGTATCTGTGTGTCTTTATACAAAGTTTGGTCATGTTACGTGAATCTGTTTAGAAGTTATGCATCTTTTTGTTACATTTTGCCATTATGCCACAATTTATACCACTCCCACTGCCACACCCCATTTCTGCCAGTGGGCGGTTAATCAGCTGTCCTCTGGCTCATAAAAAACCTCTTGTGCAAGAGTCCATTTGGAAGCCATGTGCCTTTTTGTAACAGACAACTCCCATCACTATGCCTCCTTTGAGCCAACTGGCATGAACGCAAACACACAATTTGAGCTCGATGCCAAATTTCAGCCTCCAAGGGCGAAAAACTGTGGCTGTCAAAGGGTGGGGAAGTTTCTGTGGACCGACAGGCAGTCTGAGGGGTAGAGCTGCTGGTTGCATCTAAAAACGTTAACCAGTCTACAATCTTGCCTTGAACAATGTGGATTATTCCATGGATAATTTTTTTTCAAGTGTGTGAATAAATAAATTGAAAGACAATGTTTACCAAACTTAGATGTTTATTTATTTCTTTAAGATGAAAATACATATACTGTTACAGAAACATAAATTGTGACACCTATCACCAATGTGAATCATTGTGCATTATGCATTAAAAATGCGATTTTTGGTCAAAAAGACTGTATTATGCATGTGATGTTCCATTTGTGTGAAATGTAATTTCTTAAGAGCAGAGCAAACATTTGAGATTGAGACTGATATCAGCCTTTAGGCTAGCCTATTAATCTATGAAGATCGAGAGTAACATGATCATGAGTTTAAGAACTTGGTAATTGGTACTAATTATGTTCTTATTTATGTGATCAAATGTCTTGATTTGCTATTTATTAGTTATTTGTATATAGACAAACTTTGGCTGAAACTATGACATATCTTCAGTCTGTTGAGCAGCTCTGTCTGTACAACAGTAATCTGTATGCATCACATGACACAGTTCATAATGCCATACAAACACAGCATGAAGGAAACACTGGTGACATCTTTAAAGTTAAAAACTGACTCACACAATCCAGTCCACACTTTTCTTACTTAGTTTTCAAAATAGAAAATACTCTAATACAAACAGTACCCTAGAATCCCCAACTCATCTATATATTAAAACACTAAAACAAAATCCCCTACAAACACTTGTGTAACATTCCCACTGTAAAGGCTTTTAGTAGTTTCTCACTTATACGTGGAGCAATTGCACTTTCACCGATTTGACATCTCTCGTAATTCCCCACGAGTAGCAGGAACCATAAATGTGTAAGTAACATACTGTCACTCATTCAAGAGTAAATAAGTTGATTACTTTTTAGGAGGCTACTCTCACTATTTAATGAGCTTTAATCATTAAATAAAGCCTGTCCATAAAAGACCATCAGATAACTTATTCAACCTTATACTAGCATCTTTGCTTGAGCAAAGTTCAACCCAGAAAATGACATGATACATAAAATAAAAACACAAAAACATATTAACACATTGGACAAACATTTGTTGTCACAATCAAGTACTACAGTTCCCAAGAACACCCAATAAATGGCAGAGAGTAAGAACATACAACCAATTTCTTATAAAACCTTTAAATGGACTGCAGCAGTGTCAGGTCACTTTATAATGTATATTCATGCGTTCAGTAGAGAGATGTTCCTGGGTGTGTTTGGCCTAGTTTAGCCTAAAGACTTAATGCTAGCCAAGAGGAAAAATATTCCTTCCAACAACTCCAAACTGTCCTGTTTGTATGTTGCCAACTTGCCAACCAGCAGTACATCCAAGAATTATTTCAGTAGCTGCTTGTCCGACCACAATGTTCTGTTTTCTACTGCATTTATGAAATACAGATGATACAGTGTGTACTTCTGACAGCTCGAGTTGTTGGAAGGCATCTCTGACTTTGCTAGCCTTGCTCTTACCCTGCATCCAGTCAGTGAGCTAAGCTAACTAGGCTAAACAACTCAATGCTACTCTATGGAATGCAAAGAGATTAAACTAATATAGATAGAAAAATAAGTGCATTTACCAAAAAGTAAATATTCCCATGTATTCCTCCAAACATAATAACTGCAAAAACACGGTTACATAACAGTTGACGCAGTACGGTTTAAATGGGTCCAAGAAGTGCACATGCACATGACAGGATAAAAACTATGTGCGAGTCAAATTAAAGTGTATTTACTCCCCATCACCAAACAAAGCTTACTAAAACTTGTAATGTCCTCTAGTCCAAAAGTCCTTCAAAGATCTGACATGTAAATTCTATGGCTTGAAATATCAAGTTCTTACGAGGGAATAATCCTTGTTCATCTACTGATCAGTTCTTGATCATATATTTATCGGCCCAGTTCATTCAATTTCAGACATTTTGGAATATATACACACAGCAATGAACTACAAACTGTAGCACTGGTGCCCTAATGTTACATTCTATTATTATAATAGAACCTAAAGCCTTACATTTTAGGTCACTCTCCCTCCCCGCTGGAAAGTTTCGTATCAGGGGGACCAGGCTTTAAAACACTACTGGACCATAAAACTGGTGTGAAAAAGCCAATAGTTTCTAGTAATGCTATTTCAAATATATAGTCATAGGATTTTACATGTGGATCTCTACGAACACACACTAACTGAGGACAAGTAACTCCAATGTAGCAAACTATGGAAGTTTCACAGAAACCAACCAATGGGCACCTAACGTTTCTGTGCAGGTTACAATAAATACCTGGTTGCAAGTCAGGCATTTTCCCCTCACACAGAACCTTCAGATGCTTTACATGACAGGCCTGAACTCATGCTTGGAGAAAAAAACATAATTAGTGGGGTTCTTTTCTCTCCACAACAAATTCAAGCCTGAACTAACTTAGAACATTACTGTTGGGTCTCCAAAAAGCCCTGCCGGGCAGATGTGCCAGATGTTCGACCAATTATAGGTCGCATACTCCGGCTCCCCTGAGAAAGAGAAGGAGAAAAAAAAACAATTGTGAAGTACAGTGAGTGTTAAGTTAAAAAAAAAAAAGTTAAATGCATACTACGCATCTGTCGCTGTTTCTAAACGCACCATTTAAAGTTGGCCCCTCCTCCCCGGCTAAAGCGAGCCAGAGAGACCTGTGGTCGAGCTACATAGGGCATAAATAAGGAGAGGAAGCGGCGATAGCAAGAACACATTTTTTTCCCAAATGTCCTAAAGCACAAATGCCAAAACACACGGCCACACCTCCGCACAACCCTGCGGGAAGGTGCCACATTTCTGACACTCAGTCGTCCAGCTTGTTATGCATCAGTGACAGATAAGGAGCAGGGGGGGAGACGGATGGAGACCTGCAGAGTGTTCCTTCAATACTGGAGTAAAAGGTTATTAGAACATCGAGTCTGAGTTTCTTTCCGCAACAGAAACTTGTCAGTCCCAATCTTTTGTATTTGTGTGCTAACACTAGCAAGCTAATCTCAACAAGCTTACATTTAACATGCTCAGTCCCTAAAGGCATGCTGCTAGCTTAGCGTTGACAGCAATTTCATCTAAAAACAGACCAGTCAAATCAAAAGTAAAGCTCTGCTGTTCAACCAGTCTTTGAGTCTACTCATCTTCATTATGCTGCATGTGACAACCGATCACTCTGTGTGACACTTCCAAAGCATACCGGCATACTTTACAGCCCTCTACAGTACAGATATCACTAGGGAACAGGGAGGAGTTAGACCTATAGGTTGGCAAATAGACACTCTGCTGCCCCGCCACAAAGCTGAACTGCAAACAGCCACGAGTACTGTTTGAATGTCTCCTGACTACAACTGTTAGTGGCGAGCTGCTCGGCTGGTCTGAGTGCAGAGGGACTTATGATATAGAAAAAAGTGAGGACATAGCATAGCACGTTCAATATCATGTCTTCTCTAATGCTGTAACATGATCTAATCCTGGATTCTGCATCCAGTCACCATCTACATCTCTTTTTTAATTTGAAAATTAAAACAAAATCTTGCCGTGTCATACCATGATGTGAAGGTAGCTGCCCATCTGCAGCAGGCACTCCAGGGTCTCCATCATCTGCTCTTGGTGGAGCGTGTGGAGTCTGGAGCGATCGGGGAATATGTTGCTCTCCAGCTCACATACTGTGGCTTTCAGAGCCACTGAAGCACACTGGAGGACACTCATTCCTGAGAACACACACAGACGGTTGGATGACTGCAGTTCTGAGGAGCTTTCATGCACTACAGCCATCTTTAACATCTAACCTAAAGCCAACTGTAAAATGGTAACTGACAAAGAGAAACACATCAGCTGATCTCAGCTGAAACAGGTAGTAACACAGGGCGTAGACTGAGCATTCTTATTTTGGTTGAGCCATTCTTTTTGTGATCCTCCTGTTTTTATCCCCAGCATCACTAATTAACTGATACCACTGTTATGTGATAATTTAGCTGCTAATACTTATTTTGGAAAACATGCATTGTTGTCAATATGTGGCAATAAAGTGACTGTAAAGCTTTATAACACATATTTAGTCATTCTTTATGCAGATGAAAAGCGTCTTTTCTACTTACTATACCTCAAAGCAAACTCCAATCTAAAGGAGGCTGAACTTTTGCTAGTGCATGTAACAATATTTTGCTGTTATCATCATTTATATTATTATTTAGGAAGTTATAGTACATACCAGAGTTATCAGTGGCTTCAACATCAACATACACACCATCCATCATTGCGTGTTTTAGAACCTAAAAGAAAACATGCATACTGGTTAAAGATATAAGTTCATATGATCCAAAAGAGCACTGTAAGACCTACATCAGGTCCTACAAAAACATTGCTCTCAGGGACACATGATTAGTTTGGTAATGGAGTACAGACCACCTCCTGCAGTCCCAATGTGAGTACAGTATGAGGCAGCACAAATATGTTGCCATGTTTCTACATACTCAAGGTACCACAGCTGTTGTGGTCCTGGTGCTCTTGGATGAAGTCACATGGAACAGATTGTGGGACAGTGACAGTGCTGAGTGATTTCAGTGATGTAGATTACAACTTCTCATTGTGAACATTGCTAACTGTGTCCTATGTGTCCCTACAGCATCACCGTCACCGACACTGCCGATGAGTCGAACTACATCGACAAAGCTGTAAACAAGAGAACAGATGTTTTGTGTGGTTGGTGGAGGCTGTGTAGCGTGAGTTACATCTGCATTCGGCATGTAGGAAATGCTTTGAGTGGAATTAGACAAACACAAAAAGGGCATTCCTGCTGTGGACTTCACAGTGGAATAATGATGTGTGGTCTACAATAATGCTGGGATTCATGATTCATTCATCTGCCTTTTATTTTATTTACTTGTTGTTTAGTGTACAAAAAAATATTAAAAAAAGGGAAAAAAAGGCCCCTCACAATTTTCCAGACTCCAATGTGAAGTCTTCCAAATGCTTGGTTTGACTAACAAAGATATTCAGTAGTAAAAGTAAATCCTCAGAGCAAATGTTTGCCATTGATTATTGCCAATTATGAAAATAATTGTGCTGTGTGCTATAAAAGTGAACTCAGTTCCTATAAAACCTTTACTCTGAAGCTTAATGCCAAGTTATCTAAGTGGCTTTCTATTTCCACCTATTAGTACCTGAAATAACTGGTTCTGCACAATACTACAACTCAATACACATGACCATCTAATGGTATGCTATGTGCTGTACTGATCCCCTTTGTTCTCTGCAACCATGGCATGAGTCATCCATCATACAGACAAAATCATCAACAACTTCACTTAACACATGACGCTGGGAAAATACTTTACATTCCGAGCGCACTGAATAACAAGAGGATGAGGCAGAGTGACACGCAGTACCCTTACAGAACTGGCTATGTTGGTTCTTGTCAGAGCTTTTTCTTTGATCTCTTATTCCACTCCGACACAGATGAAACCTTCCCAGCATGAAAACCAGTACCTGCAGCAGTACGTGGACTTGAATAACCTGTTAGTTCGGATCAGAGGGAACCATAGTTTTAGCACTCAATAACTTGTGACAAATGGGGTGATGTTGCTCGTTATGTGGTGTGGGAACTGTGAGCAGAAAGGCATTTCTGCAACGAGGACAAAAGGGAGAATAAACAAGTTGTCCCACGCACTCAGTCTCTTAGTCATCTTCACAACCTTTAAAATCTTAGAACTCAGCGAGAAGCAGATTATTCACTCATGTTTTTGCCCAAATTCAATCCGTGGTGTCTGAAAAGATAGTGAAGTGATGAACAACAGCAGAGAAGAAAAACAAGGCTCTAACCTCCAGGACTCTGATGTAGCCTTTCTCAGCACTGAGGTGGAGGCAGGACTTTCCTGAGTTGTTTGTCTCATTGATGTTGGCCCCCAAACTGATCAGATCTGCTACCATCAGGTGGTGGTTGTGCTTCGCTGCATGGAGGAGGGCAGTCTGCGAACAGAGGGCCATGAATGTAAACTATGGATTGTCCAATGGCATTTATTTTCTTGGATCTGTGGTTAAGGCACCAGTAGCTGTATCCATCAGACATTTAAACACTGAATAGTTATTGATATGAATGATTTCAACAATGCTGAAAACCAGTGTAAATGTAGCTGCTTCCAAAATATCAAGAAATCATTTTCAAAGACTTTTTCAGGAGTTTTTCTTAACAATACAGGACAGCACTTGTTCATACGGTCATAGAATTTACTGGTAGAAACTAGTATGGACACATTTAACTCCAGTTTGATTTCCTTCCTTCCTTGTTTCATGATTAAGTTTCTCGGGTTCATTACAGGTAAGTGCTCAGCATTTATGGGACACTTCGCATTTGTGGCGTGCTTGGGTGTTCTCACCACAGCAGAGGCTGCAGCCTCTGCTAAACTGACTATACAGTTTTCCTCTAACAGTAACACTGATGTGGCCACAGCCCACAGGTGACACTTCAAATCAAGTAGAATTAAGGCTTCTTAGTCTTTAAAGAAGATTCAGAAAGTGATCTTTGCTTGTACAATTAACATTTCTGTGCATGTATTTAAAAGCCACAACAATAAATGTAAACGTTAATAGTCTGTATGAATGCAGATAGGAACGTCTACAGCGTTTCCACAGAGCTTCTCTGAGTCTGTTCCACTCTGCGTCTGGTGTGAAAGGCTAGATTGACTGGCGTGTGATTTGAAATAAAAAGGGAGAGTTTTTCCGTTTGGTTTCACATCTGTTAAACCCACATTTAAGTCTACCGTTCAATTTATCGTACTACCAGTCAAACTAAATACAAACCCAGCTATAAGGAGCCGGTCTGAGTTAGGGGGTCAAACAGCAACAGTTTGCGTGGGAACCCTTTATAAGTTCACCTTCCAGAACAGTTGTTGACTCTTTATCATGCAGTGATATATTGTGTAAACTGACTTTCTAATTGTAATTAAAGCAGTATCTGTGAGACTTACCACCAAACTGTACATTTTAACTGAGGATACAATATGATTCAACCAAAGTGTATAATCTATCTTTAGCACAGATTCATGTAATTTTGCGCTGCAGTGAGAGTTGTTTATGTAATTGACATTGTTATGACTTTATGTTAATTGTTTTGTGTGCATACTAATTTGTCTCAAATATACAAAAACTAGCAATTCAAATCTCAGAGGTTTTTGTACTGTACCATTCCATCAGAGTCTTTGAGGTCCAGGCTGTTGAGTGCAGCCATCCTTTTGGCGATGGCATAGCCCAGTGCCCTCATCCCGATGCACGCCACATTATGGAGAGCTCTGGAGGGACAAACACGACCCCACATATTGACAAAAGAAATGACTCCACACTAAAGGTATTTACTGATACAAAGAGGCAACATACAATCTTGTAAGAGGAGAACAGGTCTGAACATGGGTTAAATACTGGGTAGTTAGTAAAGGCATTTCATACAGTAAGCTGAGAAAATGGAGCCTAATTGCAAGAAGCCTGCGGGCTTGAGTGTGCTCAACAAACTGAACCACAACAGGCCGTTTTCACAGGTGTGTCACAGTATGAAAAACACAGGCGTTACCAATAATACTGCTGATAATAATGATCTATTCAATTAAGCCATGACAGCGAGCCAGCATGCACCACACCAGGATCCTGAAACTGAAGCAGCTGAATGAAGACTATCAGACTTTGTGCAGCTTCCTCTGAAGCAACAAAAAGTTTTACACAACTTTCTTCATATATGTGATAGTACTCCCCGAGACCTGTAGTTCCCCCTCAGTAGACACACACACACACACACACACACACACACACACACACACACACACACACACACACACACACAATGACATTCAAACCTACGTCCTGCCGTGTTCATCGACAGCAAACAGTACAGCGTCAGAGATGTCCCTCAGCTGGCTCTCCTCTTTCTGCAGCTGTGTCCAGAAGAAAGCAGAGCTGTTCAGGTTCCAGTCAGAATCAAACCACTCCTCCCCTGTGCCACCATCTCTTCCAACGTTTTCAACGTTGTAAAGCTGAAGGCTGTTGTGCATGAATCCGGGAGGGGACGGGGCCTGGTGGTTCTCTGCTGTGCCTGGTGAGTAGGTCATGTAGGACTGGGGGCTGGGGATCATTTCATCAGACTCGTCGCTGTTGTAACCTGCACCTTAGTGAGAACACATGGCATGTGAGGGGTGGTAGAGGCCGCTGTTTACATATTTTTCAAGGTTATGTTTTAAAGGGAGTTGCAATCTGCAACTACACTGCTAGACGCTACTAAATCCTACACACTGGACCTTATAAATGTGGATCTGGTCCACGTGAATTACCAGTTGAAGAGCACTCAGGAGAAACTGGAGGCTCGAAGGATTGGGGAGGGAAGCGGCAGTTGTTGCTGGTCCTGAGATCCTCCTCCAGCACCTCGACAATGATTGACAGCTCCTCAAGGCTTTTGGTGGGGTGTTTTCTCTGAAACCAGACACAGGTATGCAGATTATTTGAACAGCTCCTAAAAGGTGACATGTGATTTACAGCGTCTTTCATGAACAGGAACCTTCTGGGAGGACCCGGGATCTCTGTCTTTCAACACTCACCATGGCAGTTCGGCGTCCTTTGCGAGTTTTGACTCGTTGCTGTTCTCCTGTGGAAGCAGATGTTAAGTTTAAGTCTGAGTGTACTATACAGTATGTGTGTTACTATACTGTATGCCCTGCAGGCTGGTGTCATGAGATACACAACATCTGTATCAAATTAGAATATACTGTAGCTCAATGACTATTAAAGCAGGAACAAAATCTACATGATACCACACCTAAATAACTTGTGGATCTGAGTTTTACTGACCTTTGACTGTTTTGCTGTAGATCTCCTGTGAAAAGAAAACAACAACAGTGGGATCAGTGTGAGTTGTCTCCTATATGTTTTAGATTTTTCAGCCACAGGCATAATAGTATAGATTTGATGTCCAACAGACAAAAGCTTCAGTTCAGCTTATGTAGGCAGGTAAAAACAAAGTGTGGTTACGCCAAATGAATGCACTAAAAAGGAAAGGAAAGGAAAACTAAGATATAATTCTTCTTCAAGCAAATCTGCAACCAACTATGGGAAAGAACTCCAAAATGTTAGGTTTTATCCGAATAGGAATAAAGAGGTTGTCTATTGATAGTTTTCTGGTTGACAAACAAACAACCAGGAAATCAACTGTAAAAATGCAACACATAAAGTAAACTTATCCATCGGGGTTTGAGTAAAAAAGAAAAATATCTATCTAGTCTTTATTGTTGACATTAGCTATTTTTTTTTCACTGTCCACTTGGATAAAAAATAAATAAAAACAAAACATACCTTCAAATCTTTAGGTGCCATGCCTTGGGCGAGGCGGATGTTTTTCAGAAGATCCCTTACTGGCATTTTCACACGCACTCCGAGGTAGACCTTCTCGCCATCGTATATGGAACACCTTGCACCTGCTGAACAAACAATGGAGGATGAACCTTCAGGGAAGGAGGGTCCGACTACACAACAGTTAACACACAAAGGCCCTGTAAGCTGTCCTTTGATGTACGACACACAACATTAGATGGAAGAAGCCAAAGTGATTCTCAAAACCAGTGTTATGGATGTAAACTGAGAGCTGTGATGTTGGATATTACAGAAACTTTTTGCTCAGATTTTATGCACATTGTTTTCCTACAACTAGATCCAAATACACCCCAATATATCGCAATATATCGCAATACATCGCAATATATCGCAATACACCCCAATACATCGCAATATATCGCAATATATCGCAGTACACTGAATCCCTGTATGGTGGCAGTATCCAGTCGCTAGCCAATATGCAGCTGACTTACAAACACAGAAACATTACAAGTGACAAGATACACCGTGTACACAAGTAGAAAAGACTACACTGTATAAGTATCGAGACTTTTAACTTGAGTAGTTTTATGTTTAAAACACCGGTTATATTACAAAAACTATTACAAAAGAACTGTATGGAGCATGTTGTTCTTATTAGCCTTACTGGCTATAACGCGAGCGGAGCTAACATTAACATCATTAGCTAATGACTTGAAGACTTTCACTGTATTGTAATGTAGTTAACTTAAAGTGAAACATTCTTCTATGAGGCTCATAACTCTACTGGGTCTCACCATGTTGCTGGCTACTGAACTGGTAAAGTTTCCACAACAAGTTGTCCTACCTTTTTTACTTCCGCCCACATCTTGAACAGTAAACCCGGGGACAGGTGTGTGTGGCTCGGCCAAGCCCGCCGCGAGTTCCCCTGGCAGAGGAGAGAGCCCAGCCGCGAGGTCGGTTGTTCGATCGCCTCTTTGCCTCCGGTCCTTTCGTTTGTAGCGTCCTCTCATCCTGTACAACGACTGGAAGAGAAAAATGCTAACGTGAACCAATGGCCAAATGGCAGTGCAGCCTTTTATTATTCGTTAAAACTAACCCAATTCCTGTGGCTGGGCGTATCTTGAGCGATGAGCGATGAGCCAGTGCTCAGCGAGTCACACAGCACCTGTTTGTCAGTCAGCTGTGAGCAGCACTGTTATATGTGGTAATGTGACACTGGTTGTACAGGATGAGACCGACCACGCCCACTGCTCCTCTCGGATAATGTGCGCTGGACGCCCACCCAGACAGGGACGGCTGGTATATATATGAGCTAACAGGGATAAGCCCCCCTATCTTTTACAGTAAAGATGAAAAGCTATTATTAAAAACCTTACAACATATTATTTTAAATTTTGGAGGAACCTAGAGCAGCAACAGCAGCAAACAGTGACAGAAATAACCCAGGATATATGATTTATCTTGGGGTTTTTCCTGTGTTTACGAGTCACGGACACCCTTTGGATTAACACAGAGCCTTTTCCTACCTTGACAAGGCCTTGAAATGGATAATATAGTTTATTTTTTAATTTTTTATTGAAGGCAGCATTCTGATACTAAACCTGTGACTGGCCGTCACAGTGGGACTGATTACCTGGCTTTCTTGTCAACCAGGAGAAGGTGACCCAGTTATTAAAAAGCTATGCAGAGTCAAATAAATAAAAAGTAAAATTTTTGTTCTCTGTTCTATTGTTGTACTGACCCCTGCATACAAAGCTTTCCTGCAAATCAGCCTTTTCCTACTGACACTAGTACTAGGGGCTTAACTTGTCATGATCCGTTCCTGGCTTTCCGTCCTACTGCCAGTTCTGCCAGTACTTTTCCTGTTCACCTGCCTGCCACTCTCACCTCATCAGTGCAACCACCTTCACCTGTGTTCCCTCACCTGGTTTAAACCCACTCTGTTCACTCAGTCTCTGCCAGATTGTCTTCAGCAGCATGCAAAGCTCTCTCGCAGTATTTTCCGGATTGCTTCCTTGGTTTCGACCCTACTTGTCCTTGACCCGTCCTCGTCGTCCCTGCCCAGGTAACCTGAACTGCCCTTCTGTCCCTGACCCCTCTGCCTGCTCACCCCTCGTCTGTCTCCAGTTTGCTTGGATTCCCTCCCTGGAGATCTCAACTAGAAAGTCAGACTGTTTTGCTTTGTGGATTGTTCCTGTGTACTTGCTGTGGATTTTACGACCCTGCTTGGTCAATAAACTGTCGAACTTTGCCAACGCTGGTCTCAGTCTGTGCTGTTCTTGGGTCCAATCTCACGCCCATTACAGTACAATCTGGCCAAAAATGGACCCAGCTCAGATTGACGACCGGATTTCTCGGATGGAGGACATGTTAAATCAGCTGATTGCTGCCTCTGCGGCTGCCTCAGCAGAGAATCGGCGGGGCCTGGCACAGGTGCGGGATGAAATGGCGAACATCCACACCCGCACCCAGGCTCTGGAGCAATCACCGGCTTCGCTGGAGGCCGGATCTTCTTCACCGGCTTCGGCAAGCGCTGCTGCTCCGCCACCTGTCTCAGCAGGAGTTGGTGCTCCTCTCCCTTCGCCCCGTGAACCTAATGTGGGAGCACCTGAGCGTTATGATGGCGATCCTGTCACCTGTAACGCCTTTCTCTGCAACTGCTCCATCATCTTTTCCCTGCAGCCGCTCACCTTTTCCTCCGAGGAAGCCAGGGTGGCCTATACTATTAACCATCTCACTGGGCGGGCGCGTCTTTGGGGCACCGCTGAGTGGCTGAGGGGGACCTCTGCCTGCCACTCTTTCCAGTCCTTTGCCAACGAGCTCAGGAGGGTCTTCGAACCCGGATCTCTGGGGGCCGACGCTGGACGAGAGTTGTTGGATCTGGTCCAGGGGAGCCGCTCAGTCACGGATTTTGCCATAGACTTCCGCACCAAGGCCCCCATGTGTGACTGGAACCCGGCCGCTCTCCGTGATGTCTTTATGCGGGGGCTGGCTGGGTACATGAAAGATGAACTTGTAGCTTATGAACTGCCGTCTACCCTGGAGGGTCTAATTGAGCTCGCCACCCGTCTCGACCTGCGCATCCAGGCTCGCAGGAGGGAGAGACGCTCTGAGTTCCAGTCACGTTCTGCCCGGCCACACAGCTCCCTTCATTCCAAGTCTCCCGTAACTCCTGCCTCCTCCTCGTTAGCCTCAACCGCTCCTGTATGTGTGGAAGATCCTGAGCCTATGCAGCTGGGTCACACCCGCCTCTCACTTGAAGAGAGGGAGAGAAGGCAGAGACTGAACCTTTGTATGTACTGCGGCCAGCCAGGACACTTTGTCAGCCGGTGTCCAGTAAAGCCAGAGCTCACCAGTGAACGGAGGCATACTGGTGAGCTCCATCCTTGGTCCTGCCTCCCCTAAAGGCCCAGCCTCACTGGTGAGTTCCTGCTGCCTTCTGGCTCCCACTCCATCGCCGTCCTCGTCGATTCAGGGGCTGACGAGAGCATTATGGACCAGGCCCTCGCTCTCCGGCTTGGTCTCCGCCCAGAGAAACTGTCATTGCCCATCTCAGCCAGCGCCCTGGATGGACATGTGCTGGGGAGGGTTACATCACAAACCAACCCTGTGCGCATGCTCCTGCCGGGGGGCCACAGTGAGACCATCCAGTTCCTGCTCCTGTCTACACCAAGCCAGCCTGTCATCCTGGGGTATCCCTGGCTTCGCAGGCACAACCCCAACATTGATTGGACTACCTGTTCCATCCAGAAGTGGGGAGAGACCTGCCAGCGGACCTGCCTCAGGATACCATCGCTGTCATCTGCTTCTCCTGTTCCTGCTCCAGCCCCAGATCTCATCGGAGTTCCAGCAGCTTATCATGACCTGAGAGAGGTGTTCAATAAAGCTAAGGCCACCTCTCTGCCACCTCACCGCCCCTATGACTGTGCCATAGACCTACTCCCGGGCACTTCGCCTCCCAAAGGACGCTTGTACTCTCTCTCTGCTCCTGAGAGAAAGGCCATGGAGGAGTACATACAAGACTCCTTAGCGGCAGGGATCATCCGTCCTTCCTCTTCACCTGCTGGTGCAGGGTTTTTCTTTGTGGATAAGAAGGACAAGTCTCTGCGGCCCTGTATAGACTATCGTGGACTTAATGACATTACAGTTAAGAACCGCTACCCCCTCCCACTCCTCTCCACAGCCTTTGAACTGCTGCAGGGGGCAACAATGTTCTCCAAGCTCGACTTGAGGAATGCTTATCATCTGGTTCGCATCCGGGAGGGAGATGAGTGGAAGACGGCCTTCAACACACCAACTGGACATTATGAATATCTGGTGATGCCCTTTGGTTTGACCAACGCCCCGGCCGTCTTCCAAACTTTGGTCAACGACCTGCTCCGGGATATGCTAAACAAGTTTGTCTTCGTTTACTTGGATGATATCCTGATTTTTTCCCGTAACCAGGGGGAGCATGTCACTCATGTCAGATCTGTCCTCCGCCGCCTCCTGGACAATTCCCTGTATGTCAAGACAGAGAAATGTGAATTTCATGTACCCTCAGTCTCCTTCCTGGGATACATCATTGCCAAGGACTGCTTGCAGATGGATCCAGCTAAGGTCTCTGCAGTGACCTCCTGGCCAGTTCCGGAGACACGCAAGCAACTGCAGCGTTTCCTGGGGTTTGCCAATTTCTACCGGCGTTTCATCAGAGGTTTCAGCTCCATTGCCTCTCCCCTCTCGGCCCTCACCTCATCCAAGACATCCTTCCGCTGGACTGACGAAGCACAAGGCGCCTTTGACACCCTCAAGACTCGCTTTTCCACTGCTCCCATCCTCCAGATCCCCGACCCTGATCGCCAGTTCATTGTGGAGGCGGACGCATCCAGCGCGGGGGTGGGGGCGGTTCTGTCACAGCGATCCACCGTCGACCAGAAGGTCCACCCCTGTGCCTTTTCTCTCGCCGCCTAACTCCTGCGGAAAGGAACTATGATATTGGTAACAGGGAGCTTCTGGCGGTGAAACTGGCCTTGGAGGAATGGCGCCACTGGCTAGAGGGAGCTAAGGTGCCATTCATTGTGTGGACTGATCATCGCAACCTGGAATATATTCGATCTGCCAAGAGACTGAATTCCAGACAGGCCCGCTGGTCACTGTTCTTTGACAGGTTTAACTTCACACTGTCCTATCGACCCGGGTCTCGTAACATCAAACCAGATGCACTTTCCCGGCAGTTTCCTGAGTGTCCTGATGAAACGGTTGAGCCCTCCACCATCGTCCCAGCCTCCTGTCTCATTGCTTCTGTCACTTGGGAGATAGAGGAGAGGGTGCGGGCCGCCACTGAGGACCAGCCTGGTCCTAGTTCCTGTCCCCCTGACCGTTTGTTTGTTCCGGCTCACCTCCGCTCCGATGTGCTCCAGTGGGGGCATGCTTCCCGGCTCACCTGCCACCCCGGCATTCAGCGGACCCGAGACTTCCTGCAGCAGCGCTTCTGGTGGTCCTCAATGGAGGAGGACGTCCGAGGCTATGTCAACGCCTGTCCTGTGTGCAACCAGAACAAGACCTCTCGTCGTCCACCAGCCGGCTTCCTGCACCCATTGCCTGTTCCTCATCGCCCATGGTCACACATCTCCCTGGACTTTGTAACTGGCCTACCTACTTCCAAAGGTCACACTGCCATCCTCACAGTTGTCGACCGTTTTAGCAAGATGGTCCACTTCATTCCCCTTTCCAAGCTTCCCTCTGCCAAAGAGACAGCTGAACTGGTTCTCCAGAACATCTTTCGTCTCCATGGACTGCCCACTGACATTGTCTCCGACCGGGGGCCCCAGTTCACATCCATGTTCTGGAAGGAGTTCTGCAGTCTAGTTGGGGCCTCTGTCAGTCTGTCTTCTGGCTTCCACCCCCAGTCCAATGGGCAGACAGAGAGAATGAACCAGGACCTGGAAACCACTCTTCGCTGCTTGATCAACCACAACCCTGCTTCCTGGTCTGAACAACTGATCTGGGTAGAATATGCCCACAACACCCTCACCTGCTCTTCTACTGGACTTTCTCCCTTCAAGTGCGCCTATGGCTATCAGCCTCCACTGTTTGCCAACCAAGAGAGGGAGACTGCCTGCCCATCGGCACAAGCCTTTGTTCACCGTTGCCGGCGGACCTGGGACCAGGCACGTACTGCTCTCCTCAGGTCTGCTG